ACGATGCTAACCACCTTGCAGCCCTCCTTAAATGCTTTATTTCCCATATACATGCTAAATATGTCCAATATAGGCCATGTAGATCGTGCTGATCCAGTACATCGGCTAGTTTTCACACCTAAACTCGCCGCCATCTTGATGCCCCATTATTGCAATATCCTGGATCTAGTCATAATTGTATGAGGGTGTGATAATAAACAGGCAGCATTGAGTTGTATTTGTTCTTGTCATAGTGCGTCCAGTAAATGTTGCAACAAAAGTCACACATAATTCGTCCTGATAAGTGGCCTCCTTGTCTCCTCTCTCCAGTGGTCGTTTCTTCAACCTGTTGTGCATGATGGAACACGTCGATGCGGTGCTGAAGTGGTACAGGCGCCTGATTCCCTCGGTCAGTAAACCTCTGCATGTCTGTGTCTGTTCACCTGTACAACACTGCACCACTACATAATAATAATATAATACCTCATTTCACTGTTCACTTAAAGTTTCAAGCTGAATCTGAAGGTTTCTCTTCATGTAGATTTTGGCTTAAGCGGATTTTTCTGCAGTTTTTCCTGCATGCATGAAGCTGTATGTAATAAATGAACTGCCATAATTCCTAAATATATCAGAATTATAATATAGAGATATAACAGATATAATATAATGTATTAATGAGACCATTTTATTTAATGTGAGCAGATTGTTGGTGCTGTTGTTCAGCGTAGACTGTGTGGTTTAAGCTGCACGTTGTGTTTCCACTGACATAAAAATCACTTTTGTTATTTAAACACAACACCTGGCCCAGGATTTAAGCGTTGCATCAGTTATTTGATGAAGTCGTGCCATCCATCTTGTGTAAAAGTCACGCTTTTCATTTGTCTCATGTATTTTAATTCTATTACAGAGAAATCAGATCACAACAGAAAAATTGCATTTAGACATTTTTTCCCAAATACTTCAGCCCTACTGAGCAGTAATTCCCTGTTGCCCTTATGGACTGTTACACGACAAACAAACGGTAATTAAAAGATGCACTACAAAGCAATTATTAAAGGTGTCTGTCTGCACAACAGCAGAACCTACAGGACGCTATTACGCTTAATCAGGCTGATTTTTCTCGCTTGATTTTGCATATTTTTCATGATTTGTAGACAAACACTCTTAATGTTGTGACGTTGATCTGATGAACTTTGTCACTCGGTCCATCCATCCATCATCTACACACCACTTAATCCTCACTAGGGTCGCTGGAGCTGACTCAGGGTGAAGGCAGGGGACACCTGGACAGGTCCCCAGTCTATCACAGGGCTACAATTAGAGACAGACAACCAAGCACACTCACATTCACACCTACAGACAATTTAGAATCACCAATTAACCTCAACATGTTTTTGGACTGTGTGGGTGGAAGCCGGAGAACCCGGAGAGAACCCACGCTGCATGGGGAGAACATACAAAGTCCACACAGAAAGATCCTGGGTGTCCTCACCGGAGCACGAACCGGCGACCTTCTAGCTGTGAGGCGACGGTGCTAACCACCTTGCAGCCCTCACTCAGTCCAGAATTTGCTAATTCAATGACCAAATAACCGTTGAGTTGAGACTTCCAACACTACATTCACTATATAGTCAATATAAACAGACAGTAAACTATATTCAGCTTCCTTCTCACTTGGGTGTGTAGGTTCTGTTTTACTGGGAGGATGTCTTTGACTTTGTATACTCTGATTTGTCACATGAAGGTACGAGAGGCAGACAAAGATGCCTTTCACACTTACTACTTCTCAGACTTTTACAGTGGACACTATCTAACTTGTACTTGCTCTTGCTTCTGTAAATCAACAGTACTGTTCTTTGTATTCTGTGTTTGTAGCTGTTCTACCCGAACGTTCAGGGAATGATGGACCTGCTGCAGTGTCTGGACACTGACAACCGCCTGGACCTGCTGCCTGACATATGGAAGGGTGAGCTCAGCGATCACTCCATGTGTGTCTGCATACAACCATTTCAGGATGTCTAATTAACAAAGTTTGACACCCATCCGTTGTGTTGTGCCTGCTTTTCAGATATCAAGACTGTAGGTCATGAAAATAAATCTGAAGTGGTGGAGGAGGTGCTCCAGCTGATGGCCAGAGAGAAGCACAGTCCCGAGGTCAGTAAGACTTTAAAATAACGACTATCGCAGCTGTTTACGTGGACAATTTTGCCAGTTTTCCACTATTTGGAGTTTGTAAAGTACGGAAACAATCGTCGTAATGCTCTTGTGTGTGCGTCTGCAGGTTCAGGAGTCTTTTGCTACGTGCGCTCTGGATGTGAAAAATGAGTTCGAAGTGAAGCGCCTTCTGCAGTGGAGCAACTTGTCCCTCTCAAACGTCACCATAGTGCTGCTGCGAGCCAACAAAACCCAAATGGCCTGGTGAGAGAAACGGCTCGAGGGCTTTTACAGCAGAACTTCTGACGAGGGATCGACACATATGGGTTTTTCAGGGCAGATGCTGATTATTGCTGATCAAGAAAAGCGGATATTTCGAGCTCATATACATTAAATGTGATACATGTACAGCATGTGACGACAGGGAGCCGACTTATTCATCATCACTATCGCTGAACATATTCACGAATAATAGGAGTGACGACGTCAGAGCATCACAGGATGTTGGGACGCTCTCCTCCGTTTACTGTGAGATCAGACAGTTTGTTGTGTCTTTTAAATGTTGTATAGCTTTTATTGCCCCATTCAGGGCCAGATCTCAAAGCATTGTTATTTATTTTAGTTTTCGGAGTAATCTGTGGCTGCCTCCTAACTTAACCGCTAGCCGTTAGCGCCGCCTTAGCCACTGTAAAAGCAGCTGATATCCTGATTTGCGGCTTGTGTTTCTTGTTCATCTTTTGACAGAGAGAGACATTGCTGAGTTCACAGTCAGAGAGAGGCAGCTGCATTCGACCCAAAGTAGTGCATTTAATATCACAATAATCAACTAGTAAAATAATAAAACAGATAATCAGAAAAATGCCAAATATCGGCCCTGATGCTCAGCCAGGCCAAAAATCTGTCTATCAGTCTGCTGCCACTAAGCTGCACTTCCACATGATTTTTTTTGGACTGCAGAAATCTGTGACTTCACCTCCTCTCTGTGTGATTTCTCTACAGGGAGATGCTGGAGCTCTTCAAATCCTACAACAGAGTTCCTTCGTAAGTCTTCACCTAAAGTACAAACATCCAGACTGAGCTCATAACAGACATTTACTGGCTGCTTCTTTCAAAAGTAATTAACCAATTACTGCATTAAAAAGTAAGCAGTTATGAGGGAAACTATCTTTTTTGTGAGTTTTAGCTGTCTATGAAATGCACAAGTGCAGGTGTCTGCTGCAGTAGACTCGTATTCTAAACCCACAGGTGTCTGTTTGAGCTCCGCCTCCATTGTAGCATCGTCTTTGTCCTGCTAGCTGGTAAACATCTCTCTGCATGGTGGCCCACCGTCTCCATCTGTCACCGTCATTCAGCTAATTAGCCGTCTGAATTCAACTGACTGGACTGTTGACATGAGTTGCATGTCTTCATCGACACACCTGGCGCTCGGTGTGTTTAGTTCTGCCTGACTTACAGACCGTGCCGATGAATCGTCGGGTTTCAAATCATGCGTTGGCCGTTTAATGGAGCGTGTCCTCGGTCAGCGGCGCTGGGCTCTAGCGTGACTAGCTTTGTAGAAGAACCTTGTTTCACCAGATGCTTCTGAAGAATAGAATCCTTTCCTTGATATGAATGAAGCTGCAGCTTGTGTACATAGACGAGAACTCATCAGTGTGTTTGTGAACTTTATCTCAAGGAGAGATTCAGTTCAGTTCAGGCAACTTTATTTGTCCCAGACAGCTCATTTGTAACGTTCCTAAAATGTCATAATAAACATAAGCATGGGAACAGTAGGAGGAACAAATGATATGATTAATACAGTAAATAAACTCAGCGTATCTTATTCAATTATTCTCAAATAACAGTCATTAAAAATGGATCTTGTCTGTGTTCAGCAGCTTGTTAGCAGAGAAAATAAAGGACTCTGAGTAACGATTTGTTCTAATTTTGGCTTGAAGGTGAAAGAATGTGATCCGATTGGCTCATTTTTTAAGCAACCTTTTGTTTCTTTTTTTTATCCAAAGGAAGCTCAGGTCCGTCGGCTGAACTCCAACGATCTTGAAATACGCTTTAACTACGACGTTTAAGCTCTTCTTGTCCTTCACAGACAACCCAATAAACCGACAGATGAAGGAACATAAATAGGTTTCAATAAAAGATCTATCATAGAACTATCACAGACGTAAAAAGAATCCAGCTTCTGCGTTAAATGAATCCTTTTGTTGATCCTGTTTGACAAGCAGTCCTGTGCCAAGATGCTTGTAGGAATCCATGATTTCAACCTTCTTAATGTGGATAATGTCTAATTTCATGTGTTGTTAATCTGCCTGAAGTCAGTGATTGACTTCTTAGAGGGAAGAATAACTGATCAGTCCCACCCTGTAGGGTTCGGTGACATTAGACCATGAACAGAGAGGCGACAGGAATAAGCTGCATCCTGCTTTAGTCTGTCCATGACCATTCTCATGCAAGACAAAAGTAACCGACCGTTTAGTTCAGTTCAGTAATTGTAGCTGCTTTAGTTAATTTGCAAAGGTAACGGCTGACATCACCTGTTGCTGTCAAAGTTGTAGATTTACAGTAATGCACTGCATTTAAAGAGGAGCCCCATATTACGCACATTTACAGGTTCATAGTTTTGTTTTTGGACGCTAATGGAACTTGTTCACAAAACACATTTTTGTTCTCGTACATTTCTGCAGCACGTCTGCTCACCGTCTGTCTGAAATGCTTTATTTAGCTCCTGTGTCTTCTGAAAAGCACAAACTGGGCCTACAGTAGCTCTGTATAGCTATGACTGGATAGATGTAGCGCTGGCAGATGTGACTGTAGTCAGGGAATGATTAGAAACTGCAGGTTAGATGCTCATTTTGAATGCGTTTTCTGTGGACATGCAGACCTTTCACATGCACAAAACCATATTTACAACACACTAAGGAAAAGGGAAAAACCTGAAAGTCAAAATATGGGCTATTTATGTGACCTCTGAGCTCGTAGCGTTTACACGGAACCAAAACTGCTGGTGTTTTACTGAGAAAATACAACCTTGATAGCTGTTTTAAGCATTGTGTAACTGCTGCTTATGAGTGGGACAGTTGGAATTCTGCCTGCTGACTCCTAAATCTCCAACCTCTCATGACAAAAACATTAGAAAAAATGTTTTAATCATGCAAATAATCAGCTCAAAAAACTGTTACCCCAAGTGATCCTGGACGTGACTGTTCTGACCAGACGTCGTGGATGAAATGTCCTCCTGCGGTATCGCATCCTAACCTGCTGTTTCTGCTGTTCTTCTGCAGGAAGGAGGTTCTGGACGCCTTCCTGACGGTGTGCCACAGTGACGGCACGCCACAGAAAGCAGTGGAGCTGGTCCAGGCGGCTGCAGCCCTCTGTCTGCTGCAAACGCCGACGCTGGCCACGAGAACGCTGGCCGAGTTCGATCTGACTGAGGAGCAAAGGTGAGGCGTGGAGACGAGGATTACAGCAGTAGGATGTTGTGTGTTTTCTTCATCTGGGAGAGGCTGTAGCGGATATGTCAGCTAGTTTTCTCCATGAAACGGGAAAAGGTAGTTATTAATTCATCATTAACAGATGGCAGATTTTGAGTGGGATTCATTTGCCAAAAAAAAAAAAAAAAGGGACAAACGGCATCATAAACAAAGGTAAAGATGGATTTGACTGATACCATTTTTCTTGTCCTCTGTCTGCACTTCAGTTGAAAGTCTCTGAATTTTTTGTCACGTGACTGTTGGTCACTAAAAACTTCATGGTAGCGATGTGGAGCGCAGAGTTCAGACTGTTGATTTTTAGTAAATCTTTACTTGAGGTGGGGAGGATGAAGGGATTTTGATGAAATATCACAATCTTAAAGTGAGATTTGTTTGTGTTTTCTGAGGAGCACATTACAGACAAGTAGTTTTTAGCTTAGCTTAGCATTAGCATAGGCAGTGTGAGCCCTTATTTACTGACAGGAGTCAGGCTGACACTGAACAGAGCTGCGTGGTTTGTACTAGACGAGATGTTGGAGGCATTTTTAGCAACATTGGACCAATTCACTGCTTCTGTTTGAGTTTTGGCTCAATGTACTGCCACCTAATGTTCATCTAATCCAGTGTGAGGCAGGTGTGATATTACCAAATAAAAATGGAAAGGCACTAATCCAGAGTTTTGTTGCAACCCACAGGGACAAAATGATGAAGAGCCAATTTTAAAAATATGTTATTATAATTGTGTTTGAGCTACAAATGATGTTTTTAGTCCACAGCAGCTCTCTGCACTGTTTGTTCATTTAGATAAATCCTGCTTCTGCTCTCAGTGAGGCTCAGTTTGATGCTCTAGTAGCTCTTCGTGCCTCCCAGTCTCCTTTATTCGTGGTGCATCCTCATGTTTACTCACAGCATCTCGTCTCTCTGTCCCATCCAGAGCCATTTTAACTGAACTGGAGGCTGCAGGAGAACCGTCCGACTGAGGGAGACGACACTCTTAAAGATATAAGAAGTCCATCTGTATGAAAGTCTTATAACTTAAGACAGAGAGTATTTGTCTGTAATTACTTTAGTTATATGTGTAATAAAATATATGTGTTATAAATACTCTCTTGTAAAGGTTTCTTTTTTCCTCCACTAGAGGCCGCCATTTCTTAAGCATCTCACACCGGCATGCGTCACGTTTTACTGTCCGTCTTCCACTTTCTTTACATTTTCAGCTCAGCTTCTATGAAAATCAGCCTCATGCTGTAACACAATCGATCTTAAATATATGAGAGGAGCCCATAACAACCTGCTGCTGAGTTGTACTTCCTGCACAGTGCGTTACTATTAGCTTTGTGTATCGGGGGAGAAAAAACAAAAGCACCGATGCAACTTTCTCTGTGTGATAACTGACCAACTTCCTCAAATTACTGATAAGCTGCTTCCTCAAAGGGCTGCTGTGTGCTTCTGGAATGCTGCAGAGCCCCTCATAGCCCGCCAGCTGGTTTGTAAGAAACCTTAAAGATATGAAGATAATAGCGTGTCAGCAGTTGGAGGAATGCAACGTGTGTGTGTTTGCAAGATTTTATTGGCTGCATGTCTAGACAAGGCAGATGTGACAAGTTTAACACAATCAAAAAAAAAACATCTCGGCAACTTTTTTTAAAGCTCCAAGGCAAAAGAATATAAACGTAGCGGTGTGTGTCAGTCGCTGTTGTCATGTCTGAGTGTGTGCACGGATGCTGAGAAAAAAAAAGTGTGGGTGGGCGTGTGCCAACCTGCACAGGTGTGTGCGTCTCGGTCAAAATGTTTTTCCGCCTCGACCAATCGCCGGCCGAGCTGGCAGCACGACCAAATAAGGACTAAAGTGAATGGAAGAAGGGGGGCGCTGTAAGATGGGTGTGGTCCCAGACAGAGTGTATTGTTCTCCAGAGGACCTGATAAACGCTGCAGCACAGGCGGCCATTGTTTCCTCTCTGGACTTGGCTGAGACCACAGGAAAACACAAGAAGATATCCTAAACTTGCTCCTCAGTTGTTGTTTTTTTTCCTCGCAGAAATGCATTCGAACGCCGCCGATGTGTGCGATTTGAGGTGATGAGTCACAGATTTGCCTCCGTGTGAAACTGTAGTTAACAAACAGAAGTCCCCTCATGAAAGAGCCGTGTAAAGTTACCCAACCACAATGAATGAGCTCGATTCTGCTGGATAATGTGTCACAAAAATAGTCTCTGTTCAGCAGCAGGCTTGCAAGAAAAAAAAACAAAACAACAACAGTGGAAGTGGTGGGTCAAAGGCATTCCTCTCTCCCACTCCTGTCCTGACTGGGCACACTGTGCTGCAGCCGAGGTCAGAGGTCGAACCTGTTCACAAACACAGGATGTGATGGAACATCCTCTGATGCTTTTAATACCTCCAGTCCAGTTTGCTTCAGTGTAATAAAGGGAATGTTTTCTTCTTATAAAAGGAGCAGAGAGGGAGGACAGAAGAGGAAGGAGGCGTTAATGTTAAATCAGCCGGAGCCTGCTGAGGAAACAAGAGTTTGACAGCTCGAGTCTGACAGCCCAAAGTGGCAAAACGCTCCTACCTACGACGAGAACGACGGCTAATAACTGTGCTGCCAATCCCACACAGTGGAAAGAGAGAAACATGAAAATTCCAGAGACTCCGAGTCATTCTGTCCTGAGGTTTGGACTCGTCTTAATCTTTATCACCGCAGCGGTCTCACAGCTGACAGTGTTTCACATTCCAAGATGGAGCTGGTTTGTAAAACTGCTGCTAAATGTTGAAGACACGACAGATAAAACACCAGCGCTCTGATTTCACCAACAGTGACGCCATTTTTGCTTGTCGGTGTTTTTTGAGGTTGGTTGTCAGTCGAGGAATATTTCCAAATAAAAGCTCATTCACCAAGAATGGTTGAGATTTTACATTCGCCCATGTTGGCGTCTTAAATGGCAGCTTCGGGTTGCAGCAGAGAGAAGATCTAATTTAGGAGATGGACAACGCTGGAATCATCCCCCTGACTCAGCACAATGTGAATAAAACCACTTATTGTATCATTATTGGGTAATAATACAATTTTTTTTCTGCAATGGCAACCAAGAAATGTTCTGAGCAGGACATTTCAAAGTGGAAAAATAACTTTTACTACTCTCAAAACTCCATGTTTCTAATATATTGTCACATTTAAGTACAACATGTGTACAATTAAGCCCAAAATGATTCATAGCCATGACCAATTTTTATTTGCTGCAATTTTCAATCAATCAATACATCTTTTGACTAAAAGCTACAAGTAAATGACAAAAGATGACGAGACATTGTGTACAGAATTATTCATATTTGTTGAAGCTGGACCAAATTTGTATTTATTTTTTTTAAATTGAGCTTCTAAACTATTCCAAATGCTCCTCTTAATTTTTGCCATCTTCATGCAGAAAGATTGTTATTAATTATAAGAACTGTTTGCCACCGAGAAAGTTCAGAATAATATTTGACATGGCATTTATTGTCTAACTCTAAATAAAAAAACAAAAAAAACCTCCTACAAAATCCATCATTAACACCTCTAATGTCAATGTCTCTAAAGTCTCACCATGTTTTTTGTCACTTAAGTGATTTCCAGCCAGAAGAATAGAATAGAATAGAATAGAATAGAATAGAATAGAATAGAATAGAATGCTTTCATTGTCATCATACACAAGGTACAACGAAACTAAAAGACAACTCCAGTGGTGCAGAAGTATAAAAAGTAAAAGTATAAAAGACAAATAAGAATATATACATATATTTACAAAAGACAAAATCACACAGGAGTTGTCAGGCTGCTACACTACTGCACGCCGCCATCTTAGGGGAAAAAAAGCCTTTTAGTCAGAAAAAAAGTGACTATAAATCCAAATTTGTTTTTGCTCTTGTCATGATGTATGGGTTTTAGTGTCTAGTTTTGTTTTGTCTGATTCTGTTTTTCTTTCTGTGTGAAGGTGTCGTGTCCCTTTTCAGTTACTTATAGAATAAATAAGAAATACCAAATACATTTAACAAATACAAGAATGAACTACTGTGAGAGAACTACTGTTAGTTCATGTAAATAGGCTTTTTAAAAAAAAAATCATAATGCAATTAAATACATTTTTTTCTGATTTTTTCCCCCCAAATATTATCTTTAATTTGACAAAGCAGGTAAAATCTATAAAATAACAGTTTAAAATATTTATTTATTTATTTATTTTCAATTTTAAATCATTATTAATAAAGTTTAGTTTAATAATTAATGATGTTTTTTTCCTTTAAATTATGTATAACATCTGTAAGTGGTGACATTTTTTTTTTTTTAATTTCAGTAGTTAAATTGTATAATTTTCTGGCTGAATGTAAAGGAATAAATCACCATTTACAAAACGACAGATTTTTTTCCCCCTGGACATTATTCTTAAGTTTTGTACAAAATGTCGGCAATCATTCATGATTTAATTCCTTCAGAGTAAAGTCTCATTAGAGCCAAGTTAAAGTGTGATTGTCGAGGCTGTGTGACCTGCGCATGTGTTACGGCGGTGTAATGCAGCTTAATGGTTAACTCGTGTTTACTTGGATAAACTCACCACAAACAACCGTGCGTCCGTGTGCAGTCGTATAAAATATTTCAATGGATAGAAGACACAGTTTGCACACAGTACGAGCTTCTGTTGTGTGTCTTTGGTTTATGAGTCACACAAACATGTGTTTAAAGCATCTGCAGCATCCTGCCAGAGCTGCACAATAGCCAGTCTTTCAGTCCGTCCGTCTGTCCGAGCCTCTTTCTGTCCACTCTGAGTCTTTCTCACACACATTTTTTAAGGTCCAACAATAGCGACAGTTTATTTGACTCGCTGACGGACTATCAGTGTTATCACATGAGCCAGTAAAAGCCAAGGTCCTTCAGTAGCAGAGGAAACACAAAACAGCTTCTGTGGTCGTTTTTTTTTCCCCCAACCGAGCATCAGATCATGTTGCACAAATCAGTCAGTTATAGGCATGAGTTATTTTTAAACTGTACTTAAATCCATTTATTTGTCCTGTTACTTTTGAATTAGTCGCTTTTGCGTGACCAGAATTAAACAAGATCACAGTAGACTAAAAGATACACCAGCTTTTGACTTGTTGGGATTTATTCTTTACTGGTGACCTTGCAAACCAGTGGTCCCTCACACAGAGAGATTTTGTTTTTCCAAAGATGTTCTGAGAAGGTTCTGCAAAGTTCCATTAATGTTTCTGGCAAAAAATCAAACTGTTCAGTGAGAACATTGTGGTGCTCTCAAAACATGAGAACCTTCTTCCTTTTGTTATCACCTGACTGTGGAACATTGTGAGAGTCTGACTGTCTTTCAGTAACAACATCCCCAAAACATCCTCAGAACATTGCAGGAAGAATCGTCCACCTTTGTTAATATGTGAGGAACATGTTATAAAGAACCTTCATCATCTGAAGTTTCGACAACATCTGTAAAACATTTCTTTGAAGCTTAATTTGAGAACGTTTCTCTTCCGTTATCATGGAACATAATCTGTGTTTGTGACAACATCCTTTAAATGTTGGCGTTAAAACATTGTTTTAACTTCATAGGAGCAGTCTTGTAAATCAAAAAATTCTGAGAAGGTTCTGCAAAGTTCTACTAATGTTTTTGGCAAAAAATAAAAACCTTTAGTGATAACATTGTTAGACCTGGTGCTCTCAAAACATGAGAACCTTCTATTTGTTATCATGTAGCACTGTGGAACGTTGTGAGAGTGTTTCACTGATTCTACAACGTCTTTCAGCAACAACATCCCCAAAACATCCTCAGAACATTGCAGGAAAAATGTTCCACCATTGTTATTATATGAAGGACATGTTCTAAAGAACGTTCTGTCATCTGAGGTTTAGATAATGTCTGTAAAACATTTAGTTGAAGCTCAATTTGAGAATGTTCCTCTTTCGTTATCATGGAACACAATCTGTGTTTGTGACAACGTTGTTTTAACTTTATAGGAGCAGTCTTGTAAGTCAAAACATTCTTAAAAGGTTCTTTGAACATTTGATTGATATATTTTCTTTAAAAAAAAAGAAAATGCTTGGAGCTTGTAGCTAATGCTAGCCAACGTTCCTGGGAGCCAATCATACGTATAACGATGTCCATCAGTAACATGCAGAGTTGTAATTACACATCAGGTAATTAGTGTCACATGTCAGACCTCCAGAGTCCACATGCAGAACATCTGAGAGTGACGTTCTGTTTGAAAACCTCTGTGAGAACTTTCACCGTTGCTCTTTTACTGTTGTGCTTTATGGGTCAGGTGAGCAATATTGTGGTCGCGAACATTTCCATGTTTCATCTTTTAGACAAATCACATTCCAAAGTTCATCGTACGGCACGCTAACGTGTTCCTGTGGCATTTATTTGTGCACAAGTTTATGACCGTACTTCACACAAACCGGTTACACGAGGACAGCACGTGTTTTACTATCATCGTTTGTAGCTAACGAGAGGAGATGTAATGTAGGAAATGCAGACGGGATCATAAAAACACGAAGCTTTTGGGGATAAAAACCGTTTTCTCCAACTTTATAAAATCACATAGAAACTGTATGAACAAAACTGAAGTATAATAATTGGTGTCCACTGAAAAATGAACTTTCATGGTGTCCACTATCTCTGAGCTCATTACATGTCTGAGCTTTCAGAACATTTCTACCTACGAGGTCGTGAATACCGTAAGAAGGGGGCGTTCTGATGGACTCTTCTCAGGAACGCGGTGATCATGAACCCATTTAAAAAGCAGCGTTTGTATGTCAGATGTCACAACAACTGCAACCATGCTGCACTACCACGTGTCACGCTCCATCAGGGCCAGAATATACAGACTTGGTGAGTGAGACTTCAGCTAATATTATGTGACTTCCTTTAGTTTGGCTCTCCAGTTCCTACTAAGTTTCCTACTGGCTCGAATTAAAGCAGACAGTCCACTGTTATAAATGCAAATCTGACTGATTTTGCTACGGATAGATTGGATTTGTTGGCAGTTTCCAGTATGATTTTAAGATTTTTTTTTGCATTGTATTATTATGTAGATAAAGCAAGACTGGTCTTTGTTTTAACAAGTGAATTTTTTTTTGTACATACATACTAAAAGTTTCGAGGTAAGTCAACATCTATCTGATCATTTTATCTTTTTTTCATTATCCTTTTTTTTAAATGTCCATACCACTGACTTGACTTTGTTTTTTCAAATCTGACAATTTTTAAAAGTTATATTTAACTACATTTTCTGCTTAGCCGATGATTTTTAAAAAAAAATATTGTACTGAAAAATGACTTTATGGAGAAACATGTGTGCGCCTTCCACTGCTGGTACTTCAGGTTAGAGGCAACACGATGTTGTGTTTCTTTGGTTGTGGTTAGCCTCGCAGCTAGAAGGTCGTTGGTTCGCGTCCCGGTGAGGACACCCAGGATCTTTCTTCATGGAGTTTGCATGTTCTCCCCGTGCAGTGTGGGTTCTCTCCAGGTTCTCTGGCTTCCTCCCACAGTCCAAAAACATGTTGAGGTTAATTGGTGATTCTAAATTGTCCGTAGGTGTGAATGTGAGTGTGCTTGATTGTCTGTCTCTAAGTGTAGCCCTGTGATAGACTGGTGACCTGTCCAGGGTGTCCCCTGCCTTCACCCTGAGTCAGCTGGGATAGACTCCAGCCCCCCATGACCCTAGTGAGGATTAAGAGGTGTATAGATAATGGATGGATGGATATTTAAAGTGAAACTATTTGGGCTCCTCCTTTGTAATTAAATAATAGTGAATAAAACAGCAAACAGTCAGAAAATTGGCTGGAATTCAACACATGTTGTGGAAAAAATGGACACAGTCTTGAGTTTTGAATAAATGCAGATTTAATTTAAAGATACAAACCTATTTTTTATTACTAATATCGCAGATTTAATTATGTTCTATTTACATCTGTTCAGATTTTTTTCTTCGTTGGAGCACAAACAGAAATAATAAACAGTTTTCAAACTGTTTGGGGTCATTTAGTCAAGAAAATGCAAACTAAACTTACAAACTAAACTTTATTTTTCTTTATGATTAGTATTAGTGTGTATTTCTTAGACTTTTTTCTGTGATTAAACATTTATTCAATTTGGAAAAATCAAAGGAATGATTAATAATAAAAATCCAATTTGCTGCTGTGAACAGATGTTCTATTCTAGACGCAGATGTTGAGCTGAATGAGGCCTTTGTGGTGGAGATATTAATACGATTTGAGAAATTCCTGTTCCTTTCTTTAGTCTATTTCTGTGTCTCGACTAACAGCAGTTGTGGAAAAAACATTTTCTGGTCACACTCTGCTATTTAATGACATCACTGTCTGGCAGCTTGGCCGGGGACAGATTTTTATTTGTTTAAAAGGAACGAACCCAACAGAACCAACTCTGTTTTACAATCACCAAATCCAGCCACAGCGTTTAATGAATCGGTGCCTCCAATAGAGCACAACCTGAACACTAAACCTGTCTAATAAAGGTGAAAAAGCCTCGAATTAGGTGCTCATTACAACCTCTGTTTGATTAATGTTCATATCAGACCAGATGTTAGTTCACTACTACATTATTCATGCGGGGCGCTAACTACAGATCTGAATAAAAATCCACCCCCGTGTTTCTCAGCGAGAAGTCAAAACCTTCTGGAAAGTTCTTCCTGAGTTTCTGCCACAGATGAGGAATTTACTCTGACAAGATTCAGCACATCACTGCCAGCAAAAGAGAGAGAGAGATGAGAGAGACAGAAAGGGAGGGAAGGAAGGAAAGGTATGAGAGGAGGAGGAGGAGGAGGAGGAGGAATTCCTGCGTGTACAGACTGGCAGCGCAGTCCGACGCTTCACACACAGTTACCGATAAAGTTTGCAGAACAAATAATCTGTAATCTGCAGCGAAACACAACCTGCTGAACCTCACCTGCTTGACAGCGACGCATTACGCAATCTGAGGTTTACGTGATGTGTTCAGTGTCTCTCTGTAAAAAGGAGCTTTTACGGTAAACTGTGCAAATGTTGTTTTGCAACCGTAACGGACCGTCAATAGAAACTAGTCACTGTAGTGAAACGCACGACTACCCAGTGTGTGATATGTGTTTCCTCTGGCTTACCTGAGTTAGATGGTATTACCCAATAATGATCATTCAGTAGCAGATGGGTGGAGTTTTACCCTCGAGGACAACCTGAGGTTTGAGAAACTGAGCTGTATGAGACATTAGTCAGATTCAGAGTTGTGTAAATGTGTGTTTTTCCAGCCTCCTCCTGGTTTCATCCATTTAGCTTGGTGTCATCTTGGTTGCAGTCAGTTACAACATGTGACCTACTTGTGTTTGTAAATGTTTCTGTGCGTGTATATTGTTCTTTTTCTTCCCTGGCACTGAAGCTCCCATTAGCGATAGATTAGTCCAAAAAAATCAGGTTGTATTATACATGCATGCAGGTTGCTTCTGTTTGGATGTTAGGATGTATCGTCGGTGATGTTCTGGGGGTCATGGATGGTCTTTCAATGTAAGACCCCGTCACCCAGGTGGCCCAGCTGGGGTGGATCAAGTCAACTGGATGCTGGTTGCTTTCTCTGCAGCTTCAGAGATGGAACATTTGGCCTCTTTGCTGCTCTGGTGATGGTTATTTGGCTTGTTCTCGTGAGCGTGCTTCATCAGTTCTTTCCGGCTCACTGCTAGCACCCACAATCTTGGTTGAATCTGAGAAGGTGACGATGTCTGGTGTTATTTGTGTAACCTGACTTTATCTGTGGTGGAGGACAAGGCTCCTCTACAGCTCTGGAAAATGGGAGAGTTTTCTTCCTGAATGGTGTTTTTTGGACTGATTCGCTTTGGTGACCACTTCTACAAATGTTGGAGAACCTCCAATGTCATAGTGCCATCTATTGTGGCTGCTGTGAAGCTGGTGAGGAGATATTGAGGAGATCCTCTCATCCTAAATGAATATAAATCAGTGTGTAGATAGTGTGATCATAAGGTTAGTTTGAAGAACAGAATATCCAGCACTGGTCCTCTTTGACAGACATTTCTCCTGAAAATATGGGCCACAGTAAGTTATCCTATCTTCAAGAAAAACATTATGGTAACTAAAAGAAAAAGCTTCCCAGCTGAAAACATTAGTGCAACTTTGCAGAACCTTCTCAGAATGTTTTTAGAATAAATATAAACAAAAACAAAGCAAAAAAAAAGAGAGCTAAGATTTGTGCGAATGCTAATTAAGCTAGTGCTGGAGTAGCTGTCCTGACAGTTAGCTAGCGTTAGCATTAGCATAACAGTTAGCAATGAGTTATTGGATTTTAAAAATCTGTTTCCATGTTCTTGGAATGTTTTCAGAATAAATAAAAAAAGCAAACAAAGCAAACAAAAAAATTACAAAGACTTGTGTTAATGCTAGTAAAGCTATAGCTTTACTAGCATTAACACAAGCACTATAGTGCTGGAGTGGCTGTCCTGATAGTTAGCTAGCGTTAGCATTAGCATGACTGTTAGCAATGACTTAGCGGTTTAAAAAACCTATTTCCGTTTTATTAGCGTGTATGTTGTTGGAAAACGTCGCTTTTGTGCTTCATGGTATAAAAAGTCTCCTCCGAGGCAGCGTTTCTCTCCCTGGCCGGTCACACATGGAGGCTCCGGCAGGAGAAAGGAGGAGGAGAAGGAGGGTTGGCCGGGGGAAGGGGGTGGCTCGCAGGGGGCGGAGCGGCTCTCCTCGACGGGCGGTGTCAGCCGAAGAAAACGGGACAGAGAGCCGGAGAGAGGCGGACAGAGGGATTGATTTCCCCCCGGTGATTTTACTGAGCTGCTCCAGCGGACTTCAGGTAAGAAGGAGGGAGCGTTTCAGGGCGTTTTCTCGTCACTCTGGAGGTGAAGACTTGTGTTGGGAGGATTTATAAGTCACTGCGGCACATCTGGCGTTCTTCCATTCAGTAAGAAATACATTTCACAGGAAATATTTAGAGATGTGACTCACAAATGTGCTCATATGAGCTAAAAATGTGCGCTGCTTGTGTCTTAAATAGCCTTTAACGTGCAGCAGCCTCGAAGCACAATTTGCTTCCTGAGCATTTCTACTGAATTTATTTGTCTTTGTTCATTGTGAGAGCAGCTATTTTTTTTTACATGCTATTTATTCTGCAGAATCCCATGTTTTGCTCAATGAGCCACTCAAAGTACAAAACTGGATTCACTGTGTGCAGTTTCTCATATAAAAAATACCTACAAGGCCACTTTAGCTTGAATAATTGAATGCTGATGGTTGCTTTTGGAATTCAGTTGTTTTCTCAATGAACAGTGCTGGAGTGTGATTGGCAGACATGTGTCAGGATGAATGTATGAAATGCATCGTCATTGTGAGCACAGACCTGTGTGTGTGTGTGTGTGTGTGTGTGTGTGTGTGTGTGTGTGTCAGCCTGCATAGGTTGTTAAAACACGCCTTCCATCATGTGCAACCCTGCTGGATGAATGGGTCCTCTAGATGTAAATGTGGAGCACAGGCACAGCATGCAAACCACCACACAGTCACCGAGTTAAGGTTGGAGCCACCAGATGTGATTGGATTTTAACCTGATGACTGATTTATGCTCTTTGTTGGTGCAGTTTGGTGCTACGGAGCGCCTGCTAAAGGACAACATGTTCAAAATGTCCAATCAGTGTCACTTCTCTGATGCTTTAAGATATGTCACATGCTTAATTTGAGCAAAAACACCCCTCATGTTATGTGTCTTAATTGGCAAGGACAAAGCTTAAATCCCTCCACAGTGAAGGACTGTGCTTCCCTAAAGCAGTGACATCTGGTGGCAGTAAAATGTACGTCTTTTCTGTGAATGGAGTTCAAGATGTTTAATGGTCTTTGCAACAAAAAAAATCCACAAAAATGCAGAATAATTAATTCCACGTGGACATCAGATCCACCCAGAACTCCTCATAGAATGCCTCAGCGCCATTTTCTCCAGTTTAACAAGTAATCCTTGCATAAAGGTCGCCACAGGTACAGCATCTGATGTCGTGGAGGATACTGTCTGTATTGTGTAAATAGGCCTGGTTTGCATTAGAGTGAATGCTCTTCCATTCATTATTCAAATAACCTTGGGAATAGATGGCCGGCTTGAGGCAATGTGTCATCTGACCACTAGCAGAGCCCCAAACAAATTATATTTGTTACAAGGGTCTTTAGAGATATTACCATTCGTGCGATCGGCCGGGCCTGTATCTGCATGTTTGTGTGTGTGTGTGTGTGTGCGTCTGCTTGACTTTGCAGCCACTTTGTTTGCATACTGGCGCTGAAGCTTGGCCTATTTGTTTGTGTGTCCTGATGTAACATGATCATGTTGCACGTGAGAGATTTTTTCAAGAGATGTAAGGAGGTCGTGAAGAGGTGGATTTTGAAGTGAAAGCAGCAACATAAACCGGTTTTCCAACTGTTTGCTCATACTTATTCACAGACAAAAAAAATGGGAAGAGAAACATAATTCTCATCTTTTTAAGTCCCTGAATCAGATAATTTAATAAAATCCGACTGTGTTCGATTACTTCACAGTTCCAATGAGGTGAGAGGATCAGATCTGTCTTTTATATGATGTTTTTTACACAAATGATATCTCGGGTCGGTAATCCTTGATTTGTCTGAATGACTTCAGCTTCCTGGGCTGGTTTGCATTGATTGTGAGTGTAATACATCAGGTCGCCATGTCTTCTTGTAACAGAGCTCTGCTCTCTGCAGCAGAAAGCTCTCTCTCAAACTAAATCACATAAAGTACAAGCTAATCTCACTGTCTCCTCTTACCCGCGCTCTATATCTAGACTAATATTTTCTGCAATGCAATAAGCGGCCAAGTTGCTACTGGGCTCAGCTTTTTGCAAGTGAACGTTTCATCCGAGCCTTTCATAGAATAAGACACAGTAAATCCGTATTGTCTGAAACAGGATTTGCCTGTTTGATGGCAGTAAAAAAGGTTTTTCTTATGCACAATAGCTAGACACGATTTTTGCTTTAGTTTGGGGAGACTTTGAGATTTCACCTTAAAAAATAAGAACTGTTTTAGTAGTTTGGTGCCATTTACTTCTATTTTGTGGCCAGCATAAGGAGTCTCAACAGCACAGGCCTCAAAACACAGACAGATAATCATTTTTAGACAACATATTAATAGCTCTTGTTCTGGAGAGCCATTAACTAGCTAAAAACACTCACTGTAATATTAATATCTATCCACTTAAGATGAAGTTTAACCTTCTACGCCCTCCATTATGGAATCATATTGCGCCACAGACAATCAGCATAAGTCTACTGGAAGTTGCAAGGATCTCCAGGCTGCTGTGACTGCAGAGCTAAAAGGCTCTTTGTATAATAGATCAAACTCCTGGCCTCTTCCTGGCTGCGTTAACAGAGACGTGCTGTTCGAGAGCTGCAGTTTGGCTCCAGGCTGACAATGAATACACCGTGCAATCTCGTCCCGTGGATGACGCTAACGGAGCGCTGACTACACTGATTTGTTGAAGTGCAACCGTGTAATGTCTGGATTATGTATCGATATGGTTTGCGTTACGTATTTCTGTTAAAAATTGGCCAATATGTTGTCATCTGAGCTTTTATATCCCTAAAGGGCTATAAGGAAAAGCATCATGTTGCTGGGAAGCCGTATTCCAACCAGCAGTAGTCTCATGACTGAGGGGAATCTGCTGTGCTTAAGAGAAAATCATTGACAGAATAATAAATTAAAGTACTGCAGGTATTTTGATGGTGATATATCCGTGTGCCAGCATTTAAAATGGTATGTGTAGCACATCTAAAAGCTGATCTGCTTTTCCTAAATGCAACATTTTTCTGCGTCTCTACAGGTCTCAGAATGTCATCGCAGATCAGCGCTGAGGAGATGGAGGAGATGAGGGAGGCCTTCCAGAAAGTGGGTGAGTAAGAATGTGGGATGTTGCAGATGCCCGTCAGAACCATGCAGATTAATAAATCATCTTTAAAGAGATTTGCCGCAGCTGTCAAGTCCATGTTTCTTTGTGCGTGCTCCTGTGTGCGCACCATCTGACAGACAGATGTTTTCTTTGGGATTCATGGGAGGAAATGAAACCTCTTCAGCTATCACCTGAAGGGATAGTTTAGCATTGCTTAAAATATGCTTACTGGTTTCTCTTGTGTTCGATGAGAAGAGGTCATATCGCTGTGTTCTGGTTAGTTTTCTTGTCACAACAAAAAAGCTTCTCTCTGTATTCTGTATGCGGTGAGTCAAGAGACTATCTTTCCCCTCCAGCTGTGCAGCACTAGTCTTGTAAGATTTTCTAGAATGTGCTGCACAGCTTGCTTTAAATCAGTGCATTGCTAAAAGAATATTGCAGACAAAAGTTCAGAAAATAAACTGAGAAGCTTCTACTGTCACTGTCGCCCTTTTCAGATGACGGATACATTACCGCCTTAATCAGTGTGTCATTCAGTTTTCCATTAATGTTCCTCGCAGCTTCATTCAGTCGTACCCATGACAGTGGTGCAGAAAGCACATGGGATATTTATCACACGTGCAAGATTGGACAGAACATCAAATAATGCATAAGTTCGATAACGTGCCTATCAAACTTTCTAAATACCCAACAAAGAAAATTCTGACCATGTGCGACGATATTCTAACTACTGCTCTGATGGTAAAATAGAAAATATCCCGACCGCTGTGACGGAGCTCACGACTCAACCTGAGGCTATTCAACAAATAATTGAAAAGTGTTCTGTGATGTTGGCAGCAAATTGTCTTCAGCGGTCCCTGTGATGTTTTTGGAACAATGAAGTTTGGAACAAGCCTTTCACAAGTTGCATCACACGACCTAAAGTAGACAGGAAGATACTTAAATCTTCCTCTTTGGGAAGATATAAAGATGCTGATGACAAAGGGTGCTAATTGAAAACACATCTATGTCATGGATACCAGTCAAAGTCCAAATAGAAAAGCTGAGGATTCCTGGAAGTTGACGTCACCCGAACTTAGCAGAGGATGGTTTCGATCCATCGACCTCTGGGTTATGGGCCCAGCACGCTTCCGCTGCGCCACTCTGCTGCTGAACTACTTGTGTGCATCTATCTGTTAATGTGACGGCGCGCAGCTGTGTTGACAGTGATGTGGGATTATCTGACCCAGTATGATGACCGTCACGACTTTTGCAGTAAAGTCATGAGCAGGAGTTCATGTCTGAAAGGGGCTTAAGTAATGACCAGTACTGCTTATAAAGAGTAGAGTGACTTTAGAGTTTGTAAAATGTCATTCTCTGAACAGTCATTCTCTACTTTAAGCAGTTACAAACACATTGAACGTAGCCTTGCTACACTCTTTGTGTTTAGAATAGAAAATGTAAAAGTTTTCATGCTGTGTCACTGGGAAACAGAGAAGAGGAGCAAAGCCAACAAAGATATCTTGCTTTAACTGTTGTGTTATTCCTTTTCTTCCTACGCTGTTCCTCCTGCCTCCACCCCGCCGCTGTAGACGTTTAGTTTTAGTTTAGTTTAATTTATTCATCTCAAGCTACATATATATTAAAAAAA